TGTCCCATCCTTTCTCCATCCTCTAGTTGAGTCTCACTGAGTCTGGGGTTTTTATGAGCTTGAGAAGGGAGGAAATGTGTGCTGATAGATCCATGGGCAGCCATGGGTGGGCCCAAGGAAAAGCACCACAAGTTTGCCCCTCTGGTTCTTAGGACTGGTGGCTCAGCCCCCCGGCTTCAGGCCCTCCCCAGCTTGAACGTGGGGCTTCACTGGGGACCTACCCTCTTCCATCCAGGAGCCTGTCTGCCTCCTGCCACTGTTCAGGGCACCCAGGCTGTTCATACCAAGGGGTGCCTGCAGGCCAGTGCTGAGCTGTCCTCACACCCCCTTAGCCTCCTTCTCATGCTTGTCAGTGCCCAAAGTCCAGAGGGGGCTGAGGAGGCAGGGGGCTGGCATGTCAGCACTACCCTGAGCGTGTGCACACCCAGCTGGGCTGTGATGGCACCAGGCTTGGTCCCATCCTTACTCTGAGATCACAGTGGGTGCTGGTAGTGGGGAGAGGCCAGGCAGCGGAAGCAGACACCTTCAAACCTGCAGGGGCAAGGGGGGCCTTCCCAGGCCCCGGAGAGTGCAGAGATGTCTGGGTCTGCAGTCACAGTTGGGCGACTGCAGCCATGCCCAGGAGGGCAGGACTCTTGCCTGCTCCTGGCCCCCAAAAGCACGGGGAGGCCAAGGAGCGATGGAACAATGAGCAATTGCCAGCTCTACCCTGGGCCCAGCTCTGCCTCAGGGCCCCTCTCTCCTGGCCCCTCTGCCTCTAACTGTGCTGTTCCCCCACCATCGGGTGACTCTGCCCGGCCTCCTCGCAGTGGACCCCAGGGCAGTGGACTCTGGGAGGCTCCCAGGAGTGGGCTCCAGGGACTGTCTGCCTCCTCCCTGCACCCTCCCTGCAGCAGTGGTGGGTGAGAGTGGTGAGGTAGAGCCAGAGTCCGGAGCAGCAGAGGCTCCAGGCCTGGCAGTGGGTCCTGCCCAGCCACGCAACTGTGAGAAAGGTGCAGCCATGTGCCTCGGGTATGGGGGACACAGGGGTTGCAGGGCACAGGAGTCCCACTGCCACCACTGCCACTACCACATCTGCTCCCGCGGCCACCACCTGCACCCCCCTGCTGTAGCCAGCGCAATGGTAGCAGCCACTCCGAACAGCCCACCGCTGCTATCAGCTTGACCCAGTGGCTCAAAAATGTCACCAAGGACGTAGTTTCATTGTTTCACCTCTGCTTTTCATAGTTTTATCTTTATCATAAGGCTGGCTTCCTGTGTGGTCTCAAGGTGACTTTTAGAATCTCCCTTGACTACACGCTCATCTCTCACATCAGAGACAGACAAGAGACGAGAGGGAGAACCTCTCAGCAGGCAAAGCAGATGTCCCGAAATTCACTCTGATTGAGCCACACATCCACCCAGGAGCCAGTGGCCGAGGCCAGGAATGGAATATGCTGGCTGGTGTGAACCCAGTGGGATCCATTTCTACCGGAAGCTGGAGCAGAGTTTGCTGCCTCCGCAGCATAAGGGCTCTGTGCAGGACAGGTGGATCCTCAGGGAATAACAGTGCTCTGGGAGGAAAGCAGAGGGGCAGGTGGTGGCAGCCAGAAAAGCCCACTGTACCTTCCCCGGCCCCCAGCAGGTGGGCTGCTCACCCTGACTCTGAGCCCCCAAGGGCCCTGTTTCCTGCTTTCCCTGCACTGTTGTCACACTCGCATTAGACCATGAACGTGGTGACGGCAAGAACCACCACTTATTGACCACTATATGCCCCAGTCTCAGGACTTTTCTCAGGCCCTGTACTTGATAGGCATTCGGTCAATGCTTGTTCAATGGCAAAACCCAGACAAAGCTGCTCACGCAGGACTCCCATGACATAGACGTCCCTCTGCCCAAAGTGGCCATAACAACTTCCTGTTTGTTTTAAAACATGGATGCTTATTCTTTTCCTTGCGTGATTTCCTAATTTGGGAAATGAAGTATGACTCCAGGAAGCGGGTTTGTAGGTGCCTCACTGCCTGTGCTTCCTGCTCTGGGCAGAGGTGGGACGGCGGTTCGCAACTTCCTCCAGATGCCCACTTCCCCCGGGGTGACGGATGACATAAATGTGGTTCCTCCCAAGCCCAATCACGGCATCCACGCAGCAGAGACACTGGGGCAGCCCCAGGAAACCCGGAGTTAGGCACATCCCAAGCTTGGACTCTGGGGCTAAAAACAGCCTCAGGCAAGGATCAAAGAGTTCTTCCCACCGTGGAAGAAACCCCAGGGGGCATGAGCTCATCACATACTCTCCAGATGGGGGTTGGCCAAATGTCACTGTCTCCTTTGCTACATTCTTTGTCTAGTCCACAGGGTTCCAATAGTGGCCGGAGATCCACAGCTTCGCCCCTACCCCACCAGCCTCACCAGGCCTGTTCTAGGGTGGTGAGGGCAGAAAGGACCCTAGACTGGCTCCTAGGCCTCAGCCAGCCCATCAACCAAGGAAGTGCTCAGTCACATGCCCAAAGGGACCTAGAGACTGTAGGGGGCCACTCCCAAGACCTCCCTGCACAGACCAGCTGTGTAACCTCCTGCTCCTATTCCTCAACCTCCCCTCCCCACTGCACCCCACCCCCAGGGCTGGTCGGTAGAAATAGGGCCAGAACACAAGAACTTGTTAAGAATTGAGTAGCATGCAGCCCTGAGACACACTCCTGCTCTTCTTCAAGGCAGCTGTAGACACCACTTACTCTTCAACCAATCTTTGTCTTGCCACTTGAAAAGCGTAAACAAGGAGGGACACGGCAGTCACAGCCCCAAGGAAGGGGCCGCAAGCTAGCACTGGTGTCCTAGGAGCCAGGCAGCTGGAGTTTGAGGAGAAAGTTGCAGGATGCCTGGCAAGTGGCCTCACTCCTCTGCACCTTCTAGGCCTTTCCAAGGGCAAGAGCCACAGGGAGATGTGGAAGGAGAGGGAAACATTTTGCACTCCAGGCAGGGTTCAGGGCAAAGCACAGTGAGCAGGAGTAAGGTCTGTGTTCCTGACTTCGAGTGGAGGGTGGGGCAGAGGAGTGACACTGAGACACCCACTGCCCCAGAGCCACCCTCATCCCTCAAAGACTTAGCTAAGCTGCAGCAGCTCGGCTTCTGTCTGCTTTACACACGGGGCTTCTGAACAAGAAGGCGAGGGAGAATCAAAGGGGTCTACTGCACATGCTTTTGATGAGCATCTCTGGGGCTCCAGGGCTCCAACCGTGGCTGGAAAGGAAACTCAGGCTGGAGAGGAGTCATTGGAGGGCAGTGGGGGCAGCCAGGCAGAACTTCAAGAACTGCAGAGGGACATCCCCCCGTCAACCCTGTCCTCACTCATAGGAGAGCACGGCACTGGGCAACAGCCAATGACAGTGAAGGGTGTGGGCTGCACTCCAGTCTGGGCGACAGAGAGAGACTAAGCTGCATTCCACGGGACTGTGTACAAACCCCACTTTTCAAAACCAGTTTCAGTTCCAGGCTTTGTCCTGTGGGTTTGTGGTGTGTCGGGGCTTTGGCCTGAGGGGAGGCAGCTGAAGGCACCTGGTGGGGTCAGGTTTCCCGCTGAGCCCCTCGTCCAAGCAGGCCTGGGTCTCCCTTCAGAAGCCACCACAGCCAGGCCTGTCAGGGCTTTCATTTTTCTTTGGAAAATTCTTTAGGCTACTTTGCATTTATCCCCATAGACTGCTTCCCTCAACACACACACAAACACACACGTACTCATAAAACACAAGCAACTCTAAACACACACACACAAGGCCTTTCTATGCTACTGTGGATTCCCACCCATGCTTCTCAGTGTACACACATTCCTTTGGGATAATTTTACGTATTGTGGATAAAAAGTATGTGTGTATTTTTATCTTGCTCTGTCCACCTGATATATCACCTACATATTTTTATGTGTAAACACTGAGTGATAGCACTGGCTATTTTAAAAAAGAAAACCTCGGCGGGCACAGTGGCTCATGCCTGTAATCCCAGCACTTTGGGAGGCCAAGGCAGGTGGATCACGAGGTCAGGAGATCAACACCATCCTGGCCAACATGGTGAAACCTCATCTCTACTAAAAATACAAAAATTAGCTGGGCATGGTGACGGGCGCCTGTAGTCCCAGCTGCTCGGGAGGCTGTGGCAGGAGAATCACTTGAACCTGGGAGGTGGAGGTTGCAGTGAGCTGAGATAGCGCCATTGCACTCCAACCTGGCAACAGAGAAGACTCCGTCTCAAAAAAAAAAAAAAAAGAAAGAAAAAGAAAGCAACTGGAGAAGGTGATCCTTTAATCCCAAATGATTCTTAAATGGGATTCTTCAAGGCACTGCAGCCTGAGGACAGGGGATAGAGGAAGAGAAGAGAGGGTTGAAAATGCCAGTTCTGAAAAGTTCTAAGTGTCCGAGGAGAAACAGCTGGCCCTGGTCCTGGGCCTAGGGCCTGTTCTATCTGCCTCCTGGCCCCACCTCCCCTAGGTGAGGGAAATGGTGATGCCTAGAAGCAGCCCCAGAAGCCTCCAGGTTGGGGACTCAGCCAATCCCGCCCTGAGGACATCCCCTTGAGCACCATTCAGCCACAAAGGAGAAGACAGGCTCAGCAGACAGCGGCAGAGCCCAGATGCCTGCTGAAGGGTGGAGGGCACGGGTTCCATAAAAATGAAATGCAGGGCCCAGCACAGTGGCTCACACCTATAATCCTAGCACTTTGGGAGGCCAAGACAGGGGGACTGCTTGAGCTCAGGAGTTCAAGACCAGCCTGGGCAACATGGCAAAGTGCCATCCCTACAAAAAATGCAAAAATTAGCTGGGTGTGGTGGCATATGCCTGTGGTCCCAGCTACTCAAGAGGCTGAGGTAGGAGGATCACTTGAGCCCAGGATGTCAAGGCTGCAGTGAGCTGAGATCACACCACTGCACTCCAGTCTGGGTGACAGAGAGAGACCTGTCTCCAAAAAAAAAAAAAAAAAAAAAAAGGAACTCAGAATTCAGAAATTCAGAAACTCAAAAGCAAAATTAAGCATACAAGTGAAAACTTGTTTAGAATGAGAAAAGTCCAAACAAATTACAAGTTTTAAAAAGCTGACAAATTCCACAAACTTCACTAAATTCAAAACAATATTCCAGACCCTGAAGCTGCCTCTGCACCTTCCCAGCCACATGCTGCTCCATGCCCCACCTGCCACACTCCCCGCCAGCAAAAGGGCCTGCTCTGGTCAACCCCAAACACTGCACCTTCTTGCCCAGCACAGTGGGCAGGAAGAATGTGCCTGGGAGCCATTCCCACCCCACGATGGCCTTGACCTTGACCTTGACCATACATGGAAGTGCCACAAGCATGTAAATACATCTCCCTAAACCCAAATAGACTCCCCAGCTCAGCATTTCCTCAGCCAGGTCCCAGTGGTTCCCTACCCAGCCACTTGTCAGTGCTCTTAACTGATTTCAGTTAAAGAACTTTTTGCAATTTTTACAAAAACATATGACCATGTGGACCCATTATTGCTAGGGCCACCCCCAAAGGCTTGTGAGGCTCTAGTGCACTGAAGGGCCCCGAGGCTGAAGCTTCATCAGCTTCTGATGGCTCCACTCCTGCTGGGGACCGTCACTCTTCACTGCTCACTTTGTCTGGCTGGCTTCTGCTGCAGTGTAAATGTCACCTCCTCCTGACCCCCAGCCTAAAGTAGGCATGTGCTATTCTCTATCAAAGAACCTAGGTTTTGCCTGCGTGGTATTTTTCACAATTTGTGGCTATATTCTTGTGTATTTATTGTTTGATGTCTATCTCTCCCACCAGACTGTCATCCCCCAGAAGGCAGGGACCACATCTGTCTTGTCCACCAAGCGTTTCCAAAGCCTGGTGCCTACTAAGCCCCCATTCATAATGACAGAGTGAGTAAAAGGTGTGCTGCTTTGTGATTCTGAGTTACACTTTGTAAGCGGCAGAGCAGATGCTGGATGAGCTGCTCCCTCATCACCCAACTCTGCTGAACCATCTCCTCTCAACAGAAGAGCTAACCGCCTGCTAAGTCCACACAGGCACAAAGATATAAAAACCCAAAATAAAACAACAGAAAGGAGGAAACGATACCAGGGATATCATGGGGAATCATCTATGGAGCACCACCCCTTTCTAATGTGTATTAGAAATATGAAAAAGATCATAAAAAATATAGAAACACAAGAGCGGTGCTTTTGAACAATCGGAAAGTTCTGGAAGGCTCAAAAGTAAGCAAGACAGAGACACAGGGTGGAATGGGTTAAACCCACTATGCACACATGAAACACACTACATGATATGAACATTTCTTAGAAATATGAAATTCAGCTAGAAAAAAGATCAGCCAAAGGCATAAGAAAGAGAGTGAAAGAGAGAGAGAAAGGGAGAAAGCAATCATTAAGAACTCAAAATTTAGCAAAATGAGAAAAGTTACCTAAAAGACTAATGATTCTCAGCCTGAGCTAATACTAGCCTGTCCTGTCTGCAGTGTGGCACATGTGAGGAACAAATCTTTCAGGCTTGTCATCAGCCTGACAATGCTCGTGTGGAGTTGGTTTTGGGCTTGGCACTGGAGTGGGGAGGCCACCACCCCTCATGCCACTCCACAGAAACGCCTCCTGGGGCCTTAACTCTGCTCACTGGGAACTCTCACTCCCAGAGGGGAATCCAGGAGTCCAGGAGCAGAGGGCTGATATTCCTCCTGCCCCCAGGCCTGTTTCCATGGTGACAGCGACCCTCAGGCTGCGAACACCAAGAAGGGAAGTCAGATCACAGGTCCTTGGAAGCAGAGCAAGCTCTCCCTCCTGGGGGCCTCCTTGCCAGCTCCTCTCAGCCCCGGCCCCCAGCCCCCAGCACGGAAGTCCTTTGTCTCTGGCTGCGTCTGTAACTGCCTTGCTGCCCCTCGGCCTCCCCTCCGGCCCCCCTTCTCTGTCTGCCGAGTAGCACATGTTCTCCCGCCTCCTGATTGATCTATTCGGAGAGAATGGGGGGAAACGACTCTTTAATTAATCTCCTGCCTTAATTAATTATTGTAATGGCTTTCAACTTGGGGGGAATGAGGGCCACAATGTACTTAATATGTTTTTATGTTGGCGAACACATTTTCTACTTGGCAGAGAAAGAAGAGGCCTGTTTTGGGTTTGGAGCTCCGGAGTGATTTATAAAGGGCATTAACACCAGAGGAATACTCCTGCTGCGGACTCACGGGTTGGCTTTCTCTGGTGACCAACTTTCACCCTCCACCTCTCCCTCTCCCTTCGAGCTCCCCCAGTCTGCCCACCTCTCATTCCTCCCTTTCTGGTACTTCTCCCCCTTCTAACCTACCTCTTTTGCCTGGATTCACTGTGCTCATTATTTCCACCTTACCCTCTCACTGTCACTGTTTCTCCAAAGACGCTTAAGGAAAATGGCCACCGAGCAGAAGCTCTCAGGGTTGGCGTGCATTGACTGCATGGAACAAGTCAGGGGCGTGGAAGGACACTGTGGGCAGAAAAGGTGGGCATCGGGTCAGCTTTGGCCTGTTTCTCTGTGGTGACCACTCACGCACCCTATGAAAGGCGGAGAAGGTTATCAGGAATACCTCATATAAATAAAATTCTTTCCAGGCCTCAGTGACCCTGGGTGGGAAGCCCTTTGGAGAAGGCTCCCAGGTTTGCCAGGAGTGGGGAAAATGCTGTCTGGGCTGGCAGAATTTCTGGACAGAAGAAGATGAAGTAAAGAAGAAAAACAGTCCCACAAATCACTCCTCAATGAGGTGAGAGTCTCCACGGCAACCTGTCCAGGGCTGAGCACCAAGGAGGCAGGAGATGTACCGTCACCATGGAAACCACATCCTAGAAATTCACTGATATTGGTCCCTGTTTGCCTCTGCAGATGAGGTGTTGGGGGTGGGGACTAGACCCGCAGGGTCCCTGGGGGAACTGGGACGAGGTGAGCATGAGGAAAAAGAAGGGGCAGGAGAGATGAGCGAGGTGAGAGGACAGGAAGGAGAGGTGGAGAGAGAGCAGGAAATGTGAAGGGAGGAGGGGAAGTTCCCAAGAATGAGACAGCCTCTCTCAGGGGCACCCTGAGCTCTCTGGCCCTTCCCCAGCAGGGGACGAAGTGCTCTGTGCCATGCAAGGGGTGCACCTGGGAGCTGAGCCAGGTGGAAAGGCCTGAGCTGGAGCCCAGGCTGAGTCTCGCTGTTGGAGATAGGCACCCACCCATCCTGGCTGCTTTTATTCCATCTCTGGTTATCATCTAGTCAAGATGAGTAAATGGAGCACATCTGGGCGCCCATTCACTGCCCATACTGCAACCTGTCAAAGGATCTGGGACCAGAGGAACCCAATGTGCAGTCTCCAGTTGCTCCCCTGCCCCTGGGTGCCCACACACAAGCGTGCCAGGGCGGGAGGGTGATTGGAAGCTGAGCTCCAAAACCGGCCTCTTCCCCTAATTATACCCAGACCCCGGGTTGCCATTCTCTTTTTCTTGAACTTAAGTGGCAACTGGGTGCCTAGCACCACCTTCTGGCAGCCATGATCAGAACTGGCTGGTCCCAGCAGGACCTCCACAGCAGAGCCAGGAACCCGATCTTCAAGCCAGGCATCAAACTAGGACCCTCCACCAAATGCCCCTCCAATGGCCTGTAGGCCGGATGAACTGTTCAGTCAAAGGAGCCACAGAGCGCATCCAGTTTAGAGAGCCAGTGCCAGCTCTGACACTGACGGGCTGTGTGATCTTGGCAAGCCCGTTGCCTCACTGGCCTTCAGTGTCCCATCTGTGCAACAGAGGCTTAGACCAAATTGCCCAGCAAAGCTCTGAGCACCTTGACTCCAGCCAGAATCTAGTCCCTACCTGGGGTATTCTGTGGAGTCTGAGGGGAGAAGCTAGGACCCCTCCTCCAGTGGCCCTCAGAACCTCTCCATGGCCCAGGGTCTCTATAAGCCCCACATGGTTCAAGGGGGCCCAGCACAGACAGGTATCAGTTTCCCATCACCTTCCCCTTATTAGGCGGGCCCGCCAAGAAGTGGGCAGAAATGGAAACCACAGCACACACAGCACCCACTGCAAGGCATGCTCCAACCCTCCTCCGAGAGCACGGCAGCCCCACCAGCCTTCATCTGTAGTCTGAAAGAACCCCTGGACCACAAGGTTCCTAGAAATCTGCTAGAGGAGGAGGAGCGCTGGAGAACTGGCATTCTCCCAGTTGATGCTGGCACCTCCTGCCCTTCCTCCATTTTCTGCAGGTGAAGCCCCACTTCAGGACAAGGGGCCAAGTGTATGATGCTTCCTCAGCACTGTGACTGAACACACGGCTACTGAGCTGCCTGCTGGCAATCGAGGGAGCTAGCCAGGGCTGCAGGAGGGGGGCCTGGAGGGGACTGTGGTCACCCTGGTGTCCTGGACAGTCACTAGGTAAGTAAATAGAGGTTCTGAGTTGGAGAGCCAAGTTCAAATCACAGCTTTCCTGTTTAGTGTTCCATAACCTCATGACGTCTTCTCATTTGCTAGTTGAAGAAAATGGCAGAATCTTCCCCTGAGGGTTCTGCTGAGGATTAAGCAAGGTCATGTATGTACAACCCTTAGCAGCACTCATCATCATAGACTCAATTCAGAAGATTCCAGATTTGGGCCAGGCCAACTCTGACTCATCCCAATATTAAGAGCACGTTTAAAGTGCAATCTTGAGTGTTCCTTCCATCAATAACTACTTATTGAGCACCTACCACATGCCAAGCACTGCGGTGGACCGCAGGACTAGAACAGCAAAGAAGAGAGACACGATGCCAGATTTCTTGGAGCTTCTAACCTGGTGGGAGGCAAGGGAGAGTGGTGAATAAACATCAAACAAGGACACAAAGAATGAGTTTCTCTGCATTGTGATGGGGAAGCAAAGGTGCCAAGAGAGCATATGAATAGGAAGCTGACCTCGTCTGGGTGGTCAGGGATGATTTGTCTTTGCCTCTTTCTTCTTCCTGCTGATGGGAATGACAGCACAATGGCTGGAGCTTTGCAGCCATCTTGAACGATGAGGCACAGCTGCTGGATGAGGGGCCTGCATTCCTGATAACCTTGTGAAGGTACCTAAGCCCCCTCTGTATTCTCTATTCCTAACTTACAGAGAGAAAATGACTTTTATATTGTCTAAAGATGGTGTTGTTTTCGTTGAACTGCTGAACTGGAGTTAGTGTTGCACACACCGCCTCTTCATTAGACTGTAAGAACCCTGGGGGAAGATGGAGGGCAGCACCCAGCACAGGGTCTTCCTATAGAAGGGAGTATCAGTGGCTATTTGTGGAATTAGCTGATTAAGCAGGAAGGAGTTGAGAGGAGACAGAAGAATCATTGGACAGACAAATCAAGGGACAAGAAGCTTGAACCATTTCTGAGACATCTGAGGAGAGAGCCGAAGGAAGGTGAGACAGAGACTCAGCAGCCAAGGACAGGGCCTGACTGAACAGGCCCTGGGAGATAAGTGACTTCTGAAACAAGTACCTTAAGGTATTGGAGGACTCCTCGGGGACAGCTTGATGCTGACTGTGGCCTTGAGTGTAATGTCCAAGGAAGACCCAAGACACGGGGAGCAGAGGGACCTGGGTTTAAATCCCGCCACTTAATAGCTGAGTGAGTTCAGGTAAGTTGCCTGGCCTTTCTGAGTCTAGGTTATCAATACAACAACTTAAATAGACGGGATAATAAATGTGAAATCCTCTACACCCTGCCTGGTACATGGTAGGCACCCAATCAATTGTAATCGTGGCCATCAAGCTATCAGGAGCTATGGTAGATGGACTTAACGTGACCCCATGATCCCAGCCTCTGGTGTTCATGCGTTTCTGTGATCCCCTCCCCAGGTGAGTGGGGCCTGTGAACGGCTTCCAACCAACAGAATGCGGCAAAGGGGAGGCGATGCCTAGAGCTAGCTCTGGAGTCTCTCTCCATTGCTAGCTGTGAAGAAACAAGTTGCAATGAGTCCTATACCCGCAAGAAAGTGCAGCTTATTCTTTCAATAAGTAATCTAGGGGGCTTGGAAGTGGACCCTCCCCCGTTAAGCCTCCAGATGAGACTCTAGCTCTGACTGGCACTGTCGCCAGCTCTGCAGAGGACTTGCTAAGCCATGCCCAGAAACTGTGAGATATTAAATGTGTGTTGTTTTAAGCTGCTAAATTTTTGGTGATTTGTGACACAGCACAGAAAACAAATAGAGGTGCTATATCAAGAACATATCAGTATGAAATATGTAAGGAATATAAAACTTCCCCTTTTCCTGCATGTCAACCCCACGAGAGGGCATTATTTTCCCCATTTATAGAGAAAACTGAGGCTTAGGGGAGGGGCTAAATTCCCTGAGGCCACGCAGCTCCTGGGGGAGGAGGAGCCAGTACATAGACCCCAGGGCCTGCTCTGAGCCAGGAGGAGCGCCAATATCCCTGCTGCAGTGGCAGCGGCCTTACCCCGCAAGGTGTTGTGCAGCTCCACGAAGCCTTTAGGAGGGTCTGCCCCGTCCAGTCCTCCACAGACCACACCCCTCCCTGGTGCCTGGGACCCAGCTGCTTCACACGGTTCTCTGGCACCTATCTGGTCCCTGAGGGCATTTGAGTTTCTAACTCCAGCATAACCAGGGCACTGGTAGTTACAGCCCAAGTAGATCCGGCCCTGGTTTCTCAAGGGCTTGGGAGCAAAAGGCAAGAGTCTAACTCCCCTGGAATAAGGCAGAGGCAAGGAGACAGCACATGCATCCCCTTCCTGAGCTGCGAGGCCACAATGAGTCACTCCCATGACATCCCTGTGTCCCAGGGTCACTGCACCCTTTGCACCCTGGGCTGGGCCTGCCCTGTCACCTGACTCCAAGGAGAAGCAAGTGGAGCAGAGGAGGAAGAGAGAAGCCCTCCCCAGGCTTCAGGAGTGGGCAGCAGTTCCCAGCTGGTGGGTCTTCAAGGAAGGCTGCTTCTTCATTTAAAAGAGATGCTGGGATACAGGCAGATGTCACGGGGAGCCTTGGGACGCCCGGCTCAGGGCTACATTTATACTACTGACCTAGGTTCTTTCATTCCTCCCTCCCTCCCCGCCTCCTCCCTCCTTTCTTTCTTCCCTCCTTCTTTATCCCACACATGCTGCGGGGTAGAGCTGCCTGCACTTACAACTTGAGAATAATGTTCCTGAGTGCACAGGTGAAAGAGAAGTCGCCAGGATCCAACCCAGTCAAGGCAGGAAGAATGGGCTCTGCTTTTGGGGTCCCCTCCTCTCTTTAGTTGGGCTGGTGACTCATGCCTACTCATGCCTTCTCATGCAGTTTGCAGAGCAGTTCCCAAGTTTTGACAAAGGGCCAGGGCCTCTGTCTGGGACTGGGAATACAAAAAAGAACGGAGCATGATCCCCGCCCTCGGAAACTCAGTCTGGCATGTGAGAGGGAAGGAGCCACAAACCCTGCTCCCCGGGGACAGGGCGGCTCTCACCTGGAGGAAGGCTGGCTCATGGCTCTGGAACTGGAACCCAGGCTGCATGTTTTAAAGCTGCCCAGATGAACTGGTGGTGTGGCTGGGTTGAGAACCACTATCAGAGGAAGAGGAACACCCTGTCACAGGCGCTTGTGGTTGGCTTGTATGTTCTCTTGCTGACAGCGTCCAGATTTTAGCCACTTCATCAGAAGGAAGTGATTTCTCAGGATTCGTTGGGCTCAAAGCTGCAAAAAAGAAAAAACAAACACACCTTCTCATAGACCGACGAGCACGCTCACACAGACCCATGCCTCAGAGGCAGATGTCTTAACTGCATGATACTGGTAAGCAGACATATTGGGAAATTTTTCCTTTTTTTTCCTCCCAGAATTTCAAAAGCAAATTGCATTTTACGTTTTCTTGACTGAGGGCAGACAATTTTCACTAATGGGCCCTGCAGGAGGTGATCTGATACAAACCCTCATCCATGACATGCTGCTACCCGACAGGAACTGCATATGCGTCTTCCATTTGGAGTTCAACACCACCCTAGATGACACATCATCCCCATTTCACAGATGAGGCACAGTAAGGAACTTGCCCAAAGGCACACAGCTACCAAGTGGGGAGCCTGTCTGATTCACGTGCTTCTTGCGCGAATGAAAAAGACAAGAGCTAGGCAATGGACCCCATGCCACAAATATCACGTTCATTGAGAGGAACCACCCGGCACGAGGCCCTGAGTAAGGACAGGCAACTGTGAGGTGTTGGTGGGTGCTGCACTGGGTGAGGCCGGGCTAGATGTAGCCACCCCCACCTAGAGAGAGTGCAGCCTTAAACAGTGAGCAAGCCCCTCCCACTGGGGTCACCTAACATGATCACAGCAACCCTGAGCTACAAAATAACCAAGTCTAAAACTTCTCACTCTGTCTCCTAGGCTGAAAACTCAAATCCTGGAAGGTCTGGTTCAAGACTGGACCCCAGTGACAAACCCTCTCCCTGGGGTTCCACAGCCATCTTCCGCCCTCCCTAGGGCTCCCAGATTCAGTTTGCTGGAGGCTGGTGAGGCAGGCTGCAGATCTGCTGCCTGCCAACTGTGTGGCCACATATAAATTACTTTAGGAAGGACATCTATTTTTCTTTGCTTGGGAGAAGATGAAATGAAACAAAACTTATGAATGTTCCTGGCACTAGGCTCAGCCCAGGACGAAACCACAGTGAATGAGAAATTATAATGGAGTTGTGCATGCTCTCCACCAGAAAGCTTTCCAAAATACAAGGTAATCCCAAGCCCAGGCTGACTGAGGTGAGCACTAGCCGGGAGCAGGAGGGCAGATGAATCCATTTGTAGTGTTATTTGCCGGAGGGAGTTCCTGCTCCTGTCCAGAAATTCCACCAGATGGCGCCACGAGACAACTTCCACAGCCTTTCGGGTCTGCACACCAAGGCGGTGGGGTCCCTGCAAAAGGGCATTGGGAGCTCATCAGCCAGTTCAGAGCTAAGGAAAGCTGTGGTCCTGGTCGCTCTTCAAGGCTTTTCTTAACCTCCTTAATCCAGATGTTCATGAAAATGGGTTGTTACATGGACACATAAAAGGGAACAACATACACTGGGGTCTTTCAGAGGGTGGAGTGTGAGAGGAGGGAGAGGATCAGGAAAAATAATGAATGGGTACTAGGCTGAATACCTGGGTGATGAAATAATCTGTACAACAAACCCCCATGACACCAGTTTACCTATACAATAAACCTGCACACGTACCCCTGAACTGAAAAATTGAATTTCAAAAAAGAAAGAAAATAGGGTATTAGAGGAAATGGGGACAGCGACGTTGGCAATGCCAAGCCAGGCAGCAGCAAAGTCCATCAAGTGTCTACTAAGGGCAAGGCCCTCCATGGTAGGGGTCAGTCTCAGAGCTGAAAGCGGCCTTCGTGGAAGTCTAGCCCAGCCTGTTTGTTTTTCCAGAATGGAGGAGGCCAGAAGGGGGTCAATCCCTGCCTGTCAGAGGTTGTGGAGAGGCCCTCTCAGCTCATCTCAGAGTGCAGTGTGAGCCAGGAGGCAGTGTTCAGGTGAGGCCACTGCAGGGAGCCAGTTGAGGGCAGAAATTGCACCCTATCCAACTGCAAAGGAGACTGAGAAACCCTATCAGGTTGTGACAGCCCCCCTCGGGCCCTGGAAAAGGGGAGACAGTTCTGTCAAGATCCCCACATTTCAGAGAAAAACCCCGTGGGTTGGTTCAGTCAGAGCTGCAAGGCCCTGAGGGTCAACTGAGTCAATCCCCTATGGTACAGGTGAGCCCAAGAGAGGGTCGACAACTCAAACACCAAAATACTGCAGGATGAAAACGCTCTTCATGTACTCAGACAAAACATTCCAGGATATATTATTGCTGAATGAAAAATGCAAAAGGCAGAGAAAACCGTGCCAAATTTTCTATTATTTGTATTTTTTAAAAAAAGAAAAAATAGTATATTCATGTTTGCTCATATTTACATAACTAAATTCTGGAAGTATTTAGAAGACACTAAGAACAGTAGTTATAGTGGAGTGGAGGAAGGGTGGATGGATGGGGACAGAGGAGGGAGAAAGGCTTTTCTCTATATACATTTGTATATTATATCATCTTTGAACCACACAAATGCATTACTTTACAAAGAGTGAGACTTTTAAAATAGCTTGCTCAAGATCATACCATGTTTCCTACAGTTGTGGGGTACTGTTACCTGCCAGGGTGTGAAACAATTTGGAGTGGTGCACACGACGATTATAAACAATTTACAAACACAGCACCGAATCATACGGTGAGGAAGTCATTCTTCTTTCATTTCTCTTCCGTCCTCTGAATCCATTGAGGAGAATGTCTCAGTGAGGGGCCAGTGAGGCTTCAGTACCACTCCCAATCTTCATAAACTGACTTTTGTTTTAACAAAGAAAGCAGGCATCAGGCTAAGGGCTTGGACAACAGCAGTGACTAGCTAAAATGGAATATCATTCGTTTTTCTGTCCTGAATTCATGTGTACGAATACCTACTGTGAACGGCAAGTAGTGCTGGCTTTCCATTTACAATAGTAACATGAAGCTTCCTTTTAAAACAGTAATTTAAGATGTGAGCCGCCATTAAAAAAAAAATGTTAAGTGAGTCCTAATACCATTGCTCTGTGAATACAGTAACATTGAGTACTAACCTGTGCCAGAAACGGCTAAGTGCTTCCCATGAATTAATGTACTTGATTCTCTCACCCTGGGAGGTGCAGATGAGGACACGGAGGTTTAGGGAGATGCTGGGTCGTGCCAAGATCTCTGGTTAATAGAGCTGAAGCCAGGAATGGGAAGCAGGCATTCAGCCCCCAGCAGGGCCCCTGCCCACCAGAGGGACTGAAGCTGGCCACAGGGCCAATGCAAACCAGCCCTGTGCCCCACCTGCCTGGGCACTTGAGGCAGTGGCCCTCCGGCTTCATCTCAAGCAGCTCCACCCTTCTCCTTCCAAGTTCTGAGTCCCTAAAGCCATCTGCTTTCAGCTCTGCCCCCAGTCTCAAAGCAGAGGCTCAGAGGCACACACACACCCCTCCATACACACCCCCTTTGTAATTCTTTGAAGCTCTCCCTCTACCTGCTTCTTGAACTTTCTCTTGCTGCTCTTTTGTGCACTGGGTGGCAGCACCAGGTGGGGTAGGCTTGCTTGTCCTACTGTCTGGACAGGCTGCAGATTCTCTATCTAGTTTTGGCAGCAGAGCTCTGCTGCCTCCCTCCCCTGCCCCCACTCAACCCTTTGAGAGATAACTGGATTTGTCACTTTGCAATTAAAATATGCATTCGGGAATGCAGGGAAGAGAGCTAAATCTTCATGACTGCGGCCCACGGCTGGGAAGCCACTGAGGCCACCCAGCTGGGCAGCTGCAGTCAGTATCCTCGCACCCACCTCTGTGCCCTCTGCCCCCACACAGCTGATCCCATGGGGCTGCAGGCAGGTCTCAGCAGATAGTGCAGCTGGGCATCTGCATCTGCAGCAGGTTTCCAGACGACGCTGATGCGGGTACAGCCAGAGGTAAAACAGAGGAGTGGTCAAGAGCATGGGCTGTGGGCCTCTGTTTGAATCCTAGCTCCACCCAGCTCGCTTTGGGTCCTACAGCAAGTTATAAACCCTCTGCCATGTCCTCTGCCATGAAATAAAGATGACAGTGACAGTACTTATGTCATAAGGTGCTAGTGACAATTAAATGACATAAATGCTTAGCACAGGGCCAGGCACTCCATACACTCTCAACAAACATCATCCAGTCCTGACACTCAACACCAGCAACAAGCCCCTCAGCTTCTAGGAGCACAGCGAAGTGGCTCTGTTTCTTCTCTAACAGCTGCAGGAGGGGCAACCCTGCTCTCAGAAGCCCAGCACTGCCCCAGTCAGGGCTCCCAGGTGCCTGGGACAAGGCGGCCACTCTGGAGCCAAAGTTGCCAGTACAGAAGCTGTGGGCCATGGTGCAGCACCTGTGGAGGCAGCTCGGGGGTGGGCGCAGTCCCCCTCTCCATGGTCCTCTGCCCACCTCTCACCCACCATGCTTTGGGTGATCCCCTGAAAGGCTCTGAGAGGTGGGCAGGGCCCAGATCGTCATCCCTTCACAGGGATGAGGAAACCAAGGCTCAAGACGCTATGTGAACTGTCCACAAAGAGCAGAGCCAGGCCTGCAAACAGGCCTCCTGTACCACCAGGTGAGCCATAGAGTGCAGGGGCAGCTTTCCTCCCGTCCTCAAGTTCAGGCATCCAAGTGGACAGAGGCCCTGGCCACTGCCTCAGGGCTTCCCCTCAGACCCATAGAGCTAGAAAGGCCCCAGAGAGGGAGCCCGACATCCCCGGCCCCCACCTATGCTAAAAGGCCCCATCCTGGCCCCAGTCAGAGGGAGGCAGGAGCTGGGAGACAGTTGCTTGGGGGAACTGGCAAAACCAGAGCCACTGTTTCACCTGATCTCAGGCTTGGTGTCCCCTTCAGGGAGATGATGGTCCCCACTTCCAGGACTAGCTGGAGGGTGGAGAGGGAGGAGCTTAGGGAGCCAAGGGCTTGGAATGTGTGGAGGGGACCAGGAGGCTGGCTGGTCCCGAGATTGAGCAGAACAGACGAGTCGGACCCCAGCAGCTCTACTCACCGGGTGGCCCCAACCAAGGAGTCAAAGCAACTCCCCACAGTGGGGCACTCCGCTCTTCAGCCCCACAGAGGCTGTGGAGGCCCAGTGGATCTGAGCTGCTGGCTCACATGGGTGGGAGTAGGAGCAGCTCTCCCCAGGAGCAGGGCTGGAAATCCAGCCTGCCACGGAGACGCAGGGCTTCGAGGATCAGCAGAAACCTCCCTGGAAATCTGCCCTCTTGGGCAGGATTGGAACAAGACAGGCAGCTCAGTGTGGGGGTCCTGTCACACAGCGGGCAGAGCTGGCGGTGGGCAGACAAGGAAGAGCCCACCCCCTCAGTGAACTTCTGATTAGGATGCTGAGTAGACCGAGGCAGAGGCTCACTCAGGCCCCTCAGCTCTGACCTGGCCTCCCAGAGGACCTAGCCTCTGCCTGTGCAGGGCACAGCCACCCCCTGTGAGGCCTCAGTCAGTCGGTGCAGGGGAGAGACCCGTTGAGCGCTTTCAGGCAGGCCGGAAGTACGCAGCCCCAGGCCACTCCCAGCTGCAAGCTGCATGACCCCAGGGGGCGCCTCCCCACACTAAGCTGCCTCTGTCTGCGTACCTTCAGACACTGGGCTTAGGAAGTGAGGCAGAGAAGACAGGTGGCTCAGAGAAGGGCCAAGAGGCCAATCCAACCAGAGCAGCTCTATGGGGCCTGGAGCTCAGTCAACAAACAGGGCAAGACTTCACCGCCTCTTGGTCCCCACCAACTGACTTCCAGCCCCCAGCCCTGCCCCTTAGGCCGGCTAAGCACCAAGCAAGCCTCAGGAGAAGCCATCTCTGCCCACTGTGGCCCCTGCCCACCTCCACCATGCTGCCTAAAGCCAGGGAGGCCCCTCTCCTCCCGCTCTTTCTAGTCAGGTGCAGAGGGAAGCCCTGCTCACCCCTACCTTCTCTAACGGACCCTAATTCTCAACGGGCTTGGACTTTGGGAAAGGAAACTGAGTTCTAGAAAAAGGTATTGTTCTCAGCCCTGAATGTGAGGACTCAGATTCATATCCCCTCAAGGTATTTTATATATTGGGGTTTTCCACTCATCATTTATTTTTTCAGAGTCCTGCAGCTTTGCAAGGGGAAAATGAAAGGGAAAACCCACCCCTAAGAGAAGCTGAGGGAGAAGGGAGTTAGGAGAGTGGGGTATGGCCAGAAACTTCCCTGTGGCTGGCAGGCTGGAGTTGCAGGGGCTTGGAGCCAGGCGAGTGGGTGGGCCGAAGTATCAGGACAGAAGGAGATGCCATGGGGACCAGCTGAGACACCAGCAGGGCTGAGCCCCCAACTCCCTTTGTCCAGGTCCCAGGTGAGGAGCTTCTGTTCCAGACAGCATGGCAGGCTCTCAGATGGAGGGGTGGCCTCAAGCTCCTTCTTGCTCCCATCCTCCCCCGCAGACCCAGCAACTCCAAAACATGCCTTCCTCCCTGCAAACAACCAAACCCAGCGGATCCCAAGGAAAGGGTAAGAAACCTGGTGCCAGGAGTCCTTGGCTCAACCAGCCTCCCTCCAACCTATAAATAACCCTCCTCCCTCAGTGGCCAGGAGCCTCAGCCACCCAGTGCCTCTCCAGGCAGGGCTTCCACACAGACCCAGGGCTCACATGTCAAAACTCAAGGCCTCCTCTCCAGAGAAGCAGGGCATCCTCGTTCCATATGCACTGTTTTCTAAGGAGAATGCGCTGCAGCCAGGGGTGATGGGAGCCTCTGGAGGGTGAAAGAGGCTGAGTAGCCTCTGGTCAGGAAGGTCTCCTTAAGCAAGGGAGACCTCGGACCTGCACCCCGGCTCTCCCGACCCTGCAGCCTCACCAGTCATTCTGGCCACAGGAACCCTCCCCACAAAGCTGACCATGATGTCTGGCATCTCAGAGTGAGGCTGGAAGTTATCCACACATCAGGCAAGGGGTCCAAGCCAGATCTCATCTAGACTTTCTCTCCTAGTTCTACGATCCTACTGAGAAAATCTTAGAAACCACCCTCTGAGGTCAAATGCTTGCTGCTGCCTGTTCCCCAAACCCAATCCCTCTTTACCATGTTTTCCAGATCTGTGTGCAGGTGTACAGTTATTTATACATTTCTTTATATGGAGTCATTTTTACTTAAATCTATTTATTGAAAATGTCACAATAAATAGAATGCCAGTACCACCTGTCCTAAACAATAGGTAGCCAATAAAAATATACCATTAAAACAAAAACAGTGCTATAAAAGTCTGGAATTTTCCCCACCTGCCCTAAGCCTAAGTCCTGCTCCCTAGGCAGAGGAGACGTCGGCAAGTCTTCCACAGGCATCGGAACATGTTGGCATCCAGCTGAGATCTTCTCGGCATAAAGGGATTGAGACAACTGGGAAGGGCATCACGTTCTTGCTCTGATTTTGTGCTACTTAATGCAAGCCCCATTCCACCTCAGAATATGTCAGGGGAGCCAAGGGATCTACCCACACTTTGGAAATGCTGGACTAACGTCTCCCTCTGCCTCATGCTTACCACAAGGGGTTACACACACCTGTGGTCCCCTCTCTGATCACACTTTCGAGGCACCACCAGATCCCCTCCCAATATGCCTGCTCTCACACCAAGGCCCAGCAAGTCCCTCTCAACAGGCCCACCCGCATCAGCCCCCAGAGGTCACCGCTGACTCAGGTGGGACACCAGGTAGACAAGGCCCACCAGGAGGAGGCCACGAACACCAAGCATCATGAGCAGGAAGAGGAGCAGGATGGAGGTCACCGGCTCCACAGCATGGTTGCCGAGATGCCACTGCGGAAAGCCCATGTTCACCAGCTGCCGGTTGAGGTCATTGAAGGGGGACTGAGCAGCACCCAGCCTGGCACCTGCCTGCTGCTGGCGGGGGCCAGGACCTCCTGGGGGAGCACCATGGCCCCTGTTGAGGAAGCTCTAGAACATGAAGACAGAGACAGATGAATGAATCCTTGGGTTGAGGCACCAGCCAAGAGGCAACCTCTCTAGGCTGCGTCCTGCCCTTCCTACAGCCACCCAGGGTCACACCCTCCTTTCTCAGCAATCCCCCATGCCACTCATAAGAATCCCAACAACCAAGTCACAAGCTTTCAGAGCACAAAACATGCCAGTCTATATTCCTTACATCAGGCCCAGGACAAAGGAGAGAGGAAATGGTTGAGGCAGGTTGGACTACAGGGCATGGCTCTAGGGCCGGCATTTTTAATATTTATCATCACTCCTTTCTTTTTTTTGAGATGGAGTCTCGCTCTGTCGCCCAGGCTGGAGCGCAATGGCACGATCTCGACTCACTGCAACCTCTGCCTCCTGGGTTGAAGCAATTCTTCTGCCTCAGCCTCCTGAGTAGCTGGGATTATAGGCATGCATGACCACACCTGGCTAATTTTGTATTTTTAGTAGAGACGGGGTTTCACCATGTTGGTCAGGCTGGTCTCAAACTCCTGACCTCGTGATCCGCCCACCTCAGCCTCCCAAACTGCTAGGATTACAGGTGTGAGCCACCGCGCCCAGCCACTCCTTTAAAATAATTATTCTGTGCCCAGGGCTCATCTCCTCTACTTCCTCTCCAGCTTCTCTGTCATGTAACTCACTCTTAAAAGAAAGACGCCAGCTCCAGTGAGATTTGCTAACCAAGTTAAAGGAGAGAGAGCTCTTGGGTGTGAAGTCTGGGGAGGCTGCCTGGAGAAAGGAGATCTGGGGAGGTAGACAATAAGCCACTGCATCTTCCCGAAGTCTTACCCAGCGCTCTGCAAAAAGGGTTTCAGGCTAGAAAAGGTTAGTGACCAGCAAGAGAGACTCCTGGAAGCTAGGAGTAAGCCAGTACACAGGAGGTCATCTGTCCCACTCCACAGGAAATGAGTACCTACCTGTCGAGGAGTGCTACCTCTTGGTGGCTGGGTAGTGGTCCTCACTCGGGGGTCGTCATCCTGCACGATTTCCCCATTGGCCAAGATCCGCACCATCCTCCCAGGCGCTCTGGGTCCCTGATGGGCTGCACCTGCATTGTGTGGTCAGGGTGGGTAGGCTAATGGAAGCCAAGTGGCGCAGAAGTTCTCCCCACCACAAAACCTTTAACTGTTAGTGATCTGGGACCAGACTCATGAAGATCCGTGGAGGATTCTTCCCCTGACCTCAAAAAGCCTGAAGGAAAAAATTTACCAGAAATTGAGGGAGGCTTGCGGTCAGTGATGCTCACAGCGGTGACCCACGCTGAGCAGATGCTATGTCTGATTCACAAAAAGGGGAGAAATAAAGGCAAGGTGTTTGCCAGGCAAAAAGATTTCAGACATGGAGTCCACCAGGAAAACTATCAAAAGGATCCTTGGCAAAGGAAGTTTTATTGCCAATCACTACACTGCCAACAGCACAACTGGGACTGAGCCCCTGCTGTGGCCCACGCCCCGTGGAAAGTTCATCCTGCAAGGCTCACCTCACTCAAGCCTCACAACACTCCCCCGTGGAGGGTACTAGCGCGGCCACTGTGTCACAGGCAGAGGCACAGGGAGACTTAAGTGGCCTGCCCGGGATCACACCTATGGGCAGCAGAGAAAGAACAGGAGGCCAGAAGCTCTGGTTCTAGGGCCCTCTCTGGGTACTAAACTGGGAGTCCAGGGCACCAGGATCCCCAATGGGGTTCCACTTCCCTTCCACTAAAAAATGGGTCGAGTGTGTTGCTCCCCCAGGGAGTCAATGTCACCACCTGGGCCTTCCCCAGGAACACCCAGGGAGATGGGGGTCACTTCGGGGTTACTTTACAACCACTGCCTGGTAGCGGCAGACCACACTAGCCACCATGCACCTCTGGGCTGGCTCAGAAAAGCATACCTTTGCTGCAGAGGGCACGCCCCTCACCTGTCCCTCACTTCGCAGGAAACACCAGTCCAACCTTGGCTAATGGGCCCAGCGCCCAGCCTTCCCAAAATATGGGAGGGGGGTTGCTGCGGTGACTCTCGAAAGGCTCCACTCCGCGGACGCCTGGACTGCGGGCCCCTCCACTCCTCCCCTTGAGTCTGGGTAAACGCCATTCGTTCTCAGGAGATAAGCCTCAGTGTCCATCTACGTTCTAGATAGCACTGGTGACATATATGCCAAAAAAGGTCAGGAGCCCCTGTTGTCTCGCCCGTAGTCCGGAGCCCGGGCCAGGCGCGTCCCCCTCCTAAAGCCCGCTGACCCTGGCGCAAGCCGAGCAGATGGTGGTCGCACGCAGTCCCTTTGTGCTTTGTCATCGCGCGGCCCGCAGGGTGGGCCAACCGCGGGCCCGGCCCGCGGCGCACCTGACATTCCAGGCCGGGGGCGGGAGGGACGCTGCCCAGGCCGCCACCCCAGCCTCTGGAGTCCGACACCGGCTCCAAGTCCCGGTCCAGGCTGCGGCGAGGGATGCGCTCCCTCCCCGGCGCGGCGACTCACCTGCAGGCGCGACTCCCGGCCTCGGCGGCGTCCACTCCCAGCTGCTCCAGGCGGTTTCCTCCCACCTGACCTCACAGGAAGCGCGCGCCAGAGGGGCGCGGCCCAGTGGTGGCGCACATCGCCCTCTGTAGGCCGCCTGAGGAATTGCACCTGCTCGGCCCAGGGTTGGGGGCGGCGCGGGGTGGTAGGGTTGGGGGCGGCGCGGGGTGGTGGGGTTGGGGGAGGTGGGGCGTGGGAAGGAGTGGGAGGTGGGGATGGAGAGAAGAGAGGATGAGAGGAGAAGACACATGGAAAAGAAGGAGAAGAAGGAGGAGGGATAAAAGAAAGAAAAGGAAGCAGAGTTCACAGAGGAAAAACCCAAGGGGTGGAGGCGCAGTGGCCTGGGAGGAAGGGCGGGCGCAGTCTCAGATGACCAGTGTACGCTTGCTGAGCCAGCTCTGTGGATGCCCCTTGAGTAGGACCCAACCCTGCCCTCGAGGAGTTCCAAGTTCAGCGGGGAAGATGAGGCAGGAACGGGGCAGACCCCTCTATAGCCTTCCAGGAGAAGATGCGTTTGAGCTGGGACAGGAGGGTAGGTAAGGATAGGTAAGGTCACTCTTGGCAGAAGGAGCCACCTGCGGGGAGTGAATGATCTACCTCTGCCTCTTTCCTGATGTTTTAAAATCCACCCCTCCCCCACCACCTTCATAAGCTGTTCCCTGTGGACCTGCTCACCAGTGAGGGAGAATGAACTGTGCAGTCCCACAGTCTCGGTTCAGGTTCTGAACTCTGGCAAGTTACTTAGCTGCTCAGTGTTGCAAAACAGGTGTAATCATAGCCTTACAGGACCTCTGTGAAGATTAAGTATGATGTCTCTGGCACACTGGTAATGTTGATAAACGTTAGCTGTGATTATCATTTAATAAATGTTTCTGGGAGTGGGCAGATATTTATTGAGCATTTATTAGAACCCCGATTCTGCTAGCTGCTGGGCAGAAGGAACAAAAATAAGAGAGAGATTTAGACCTGGTCTGGAGGACTCATAGTCGGCCACCGTAGTCTGATTATTTGATCATGAAACCTTATCAGCAAAAAAACGTTTTACGGGTCACCCTGGTATCTGTATCTTTTTTATATGTTATGATTTTTGTTTGTTTCTAAATTATACATGCGTACTTTGAGAACAGATTGGCATGATGGATAAAAGGTGGCTGCTGGAGTCATCCTGTGTTTAAATGTTGGTGTGACTGCTTTCTGGCACTTTCGTGTCAAGTGCTTGGATGAGAGCCTGGCCGCAGTAAGTGCTCAAGGGCTGCCGACTGTTATGATCATTACCTCTTCTACTATTAAGTCAATTGTAAAGCATGCACATTTTAAAAGCATAGGATTTTGGCTTATATTTATAATCCTAGTGCTTTCTCCCTGCATCCCAATGTGTTCCAGGTATGCCAAGTGCATGAATGAAAGCCGTAATCATAAAGCAGGATGCCCGATTATCACAGGTGGCTTGTGATCCCAAGTCACAATGTGCACATTGGAATTACCTGAGATGTTTAGAAACCATCCCAATACCTAGGTCCCACCCCAGAGATCACAATGTCGTTGATCTGGGTTACAATCTGGGCATGGAGACATTTTAAAAACCCAGTCTTCTAATGAGCAGCTAGGGCCAAGAGACACTGCCTTCCATGAACAGAGCCCCATAAGTAGGTCACAGAACTCAGGAGCCCCAAGAAGGAGGTAACCTCTGTGGGCTGAGCAACCAGGGAATACAGGCAGAAAATCATGGATGTTTTCAGGAAGATTTGAGCTGGTATAACTGCTGCCAAAGAGATACACTCCAGCTGGAAAGAACCATAAGAGTCCAGAGGAAGAAGCAAGTGCCTCCAGAGAAGTCAAGAACAGCTTTGGGATGGGGAGTGATAGTGTTTGACTGAACTTAGAAACAGCCTATTATTACCAACTAAAACAGCCTAAGGAGGTAACCTGCCACTTTTGCTATCTCTCCACCTTCTTCAGATGTCTCCACTGCTCAAGAACCTGCAATGGTCCCTACTGTCTGCTCCAACAAGCCCCCAACTCATTGGCAAGGCTTTGACAACCCTCCATCTCTAGCCCCAGCACACTCTCAGCACCTCCCTCCCTCAGCTCTGCCCACCTGGTCTCTTTGCTTTCCCCAGAGTAGATCACCCAAAGGCCTGCTTTGCTTGGGCCTGAATATCTGCTGGAAGGCCAGCTCCACCACATCTAAATCCCTTCATCCACAAATGTGATAGTTTCATGTAATAATAATAATAATAAACCCAATGTGTGCAGAGTCCTTACTTCTGAAGTGTTTTCCCAGAGACCACTTCATTCTTTTTTGGATTATGAAATAGAAAGAGTAGGTATTATTGTTCCCCTTTTACCGAGGCAAAATTGAGGCTCAGAGACAATGTAGATGACCATCCCAAGGTCACTAACAGAGCCAGGGTTCAAATGAAAGCAGGTCCCTGGGCTCTGCATTCCAGGCTTGTGCATCCACCAAACAGACTGCCCTGAGTTCATCTCAGCTCTGCAGCCTCTTTACAATTGTGCCCCCGCCTCCCCCATGCCATCAGCACAAGATTGGGCTTTGGGTCATGCCTTAACCCCAACATGTGGTCATAGCAGAATTCATAATTTTTAAGTCAGGTGCTCTGGCCCCTTGTCTGACTCTGCAGGTGAAAACAACTCTTTCTGCCTTGAAAAAAGAACGGCATGTTGATAATGGTGATGTCATATTAAATATATTTATCTATCTCTTTCTCCTGCTATTTCCCCTTGTCTCTTTCCCCGACTCTGGCAGACACTATGCCTGTGTTTATTACTCAGATAATGGTGTGGGAGAAAAGCAGCACTAGCCTGCCAGTGCCCACTGTTGGTGCCTCCATAGGCCTGTGAAGACAGTATGTCAGGGGCCTCTTCAGAGAAACACTGGGAGATGAGGAAATAATAGGAGCATAGGTGTTGTGTGCTAGATCTCAAAGGTGGGCATGAGGCTTGGGAAAGGGAATGGCCAGATAGTGAGTATGACAGGTAGGGCCTTATATGGCCTTGTGGAAATCCTTGGGTCCATTGTGGCTGAGGTGTGGTGAAAGGATTCTTGTGCTCCAGCAGTGACAAGGGAATAGTGGGAAAATTGCCAGACTTGAAAGGGTCAGGTAGACAGGTATGAAGGGTGGTGCAGTGATGGCCTTCATCCGTGGACAGATGATGGGGGACCAGAGGATTGATAGAGGCCTCAGAAAACACCTTGCATGGTCAGAAGACTGGAGTGGCCCCACAATATCTTGGTTATATGTAAGTATGTAAGTCCCCTAATACATAAACCCACTTAGGTATAATATATTAGCTTGAGTACAGACTATGCTGCTAGAACAAAAAGAATTAAATATACAGTGACTCAGTCAAGTAGATGGGCAGCTCTGCTTCACAAGGCTATCCAAGGACACCCACTCTTTATAGCTTATTGCTCCCCTACACCCTGGGATGCCATCCTTATTTGCATGGTCAAAACTGCCTCACCAACTTCTTCGCCATATGCAGCTCATGGAAAGGTGAGAAAGAAGAAATGGAGGGCTAGTGATTTCTTTTAAAGAAAGTATGATAGATGTAGCACATATTACTTCCCTCACATTCCATTGTGAAGAACGAGTCACATGGCTACAGGGCAGGAAGGCTGCAGAGTCTGCAGTGATAGCCCTATGTCATTCCAGATATTGGTACTTGTGTCTTCTATCTTTTGTCTTTCACTTTTGCTAGAGGTTTGTCAATCTTATTGACTGATATTTTCAAAGAACCAGTGCTGCTTCACTGATTCTTCTGTTTTTATTTTCCTGTTTTCAATTTCATTGATTGCTGCTCTTACCTTTATTATTTCTTTCCTTCTGCTTGCTTTGGGCTTATTTTGCTCTTCTAAGTTCTTTTTTTTTTTTTTGAGATGGAGTCTCGCTCTGTCACCCGAGCTGGAGTGCAGTGGCCGGATCTCAGCTCACTGCAAGCTCCGCCTCCCAGGTTTACGCCATTCTCCTGCCTCAGCCTCCCGAGTAGCTGGGACTACAGGCACCCGCCACCTCGCCCGGCTAGTTTTTTGTATTTTTTTAAGTAGAGACGGGGTTTCACCGTGTTAGCCAGGATGGTCTCGATCTCCTGACCTCGTGATCCGCCCGTCTCGGCCTCCCAAAGTGCTGGGATTACAGGCTTGAGCCACCGCGCCCGGCCTCTTCTAAGTTCTTGAGTTGGGAGTTTAGATTATTGATTTGAGATTTTTCAATGTAAACATTTAGTGCTATAAATTTCCCTGTTAGCACTCTTAGCTGTGCCTCACACATTTTGACAAGTATTTTCGTTTTCATTTAGCTAAATGTATTTTTAAATTTCTTTTGCTACTTCCCCTTTGATCCATGGATTATGTTAAAGGATGTCGTTTAGTCTACAAGTGTTGGAGATTTCCTGTTATCTCTCCATTGTTGATTCTAGTTTAATTCCATTGTGGTCAGAGAACACACTTTGTATGAGTTCAATTCTTTTAAGTTTGTTGAGGTTTGTTTTAGGGCCCAGGATATGGTCTATCTTGATGAATGTTTCATAGAAGTTTGAAAAGGATATCCATTCTGCTGGTTTTGGATGGAATGTTCCATAAATCTTTCTTTTTCTTTTCTTTTTTTTTTTTTTTTTTTTTCAGGTTCTGACTGTCATCAAGGCTGGAGTGCAGTGGCACAATCACAGCTCTCTGCAGCCTCGACCTCCTGCCTTAGCTTCCCAGTTAGCTGGGACTACAGGTACGTGCCACCATGCCCAGCTAATTTTTTAAAATTTTTATATAGATGGGTTCTTGTTATGTTGCACAAGCTG